TGGCCACGTTGGCCGTGGAGGGCCCCGGGGGCGGCATGCTGGCCGAAGTAATGGCGCAAATCCAAAAAGCGGGACCCTCGTGTTGGAGCTTAGATGAGCTCATGGCCGTTTACCAACTCCTGCGAGACGGTGCAGCCGTCGACGGGAAATACCGCGACCTCCTGAATGCCATGCATTCCCACGCCGTGACGGTGACCCCCTCCATGGACGAGGCGGCCGTCAGCGAGCTGCTGGGGACTCTGGTGGACCTGGACCAAAGCCAGGCCACGCCGCTTGTAATCCAGCTGTGCAAACGGGCCGCGTGCCACGTGCCCCGCTTCTCGGACGAGCAACTGGCCGCCGTCCTCGCCGCTCTCATGCACTTCGGCCACAGCGACCGCTACCTCGTGGAAGCGCTGGAGCGCCGAGTGTCCGCCACGGCCTTCACGTGCCACCCGGAGACGCTCACGAAGGCAGTGCAGTTCTTGGGGCGCAGAAACATCCTGTCGCCGGCCGTGCTGGACGCCGTGGCCGAGAGCTTCGTGTACCGAGCGGACAGCTACGGCACGGGGCAGGTGGCGCGGCAAATGGCGCCATTCGGAAAGCTGGCCTACCTGCCGCCCAACGCCGGCGAGCTCTTCCGGAAGGTGGAGGGTGTCTTGCGCACACGCTTCTCGCAGTTCCAGCCTCGCACGCTGCTGGGCCTGCTGCACTCGTGCATCCTGGTGGAGAGGTTCCCCGTCAACTTTGTCTCCAAGGTGTTCAGCAACTTCTTCCTCCAGCAGCTGCAAGGTGACTCCCATCGCAAACGGCTGCAGCATTTGCCATACATTTCTACACTTTCTCGCAAGAGGAACATTTTTGAAATATTTTCGCAAACCTGGGAATGAGCGAATCCATCGGTGCAGACCCGTGAAACACATACAGACATGATGCACATAGATTTGATTTTGATGATGCAACACAGAAGAAGACCGTCACCACTAAGCTGAACTGCTCGTAGTTGTTTTTGCAGACAATAAGAATTTATGTCTGAGAATATTGGTGTTTCGCCCTTTCGTCACCACTGTTTTTGCATCCCGGGTTAGCGCCACGCTAATGGATTTTGCGCATGAAACTCAAGACAAAAAATTGGCGGTGAGAATATGAGCAACAGTAGTTAATTTTTTTCCCCCTAACTCACTTCTAGGTTTGAATTAAAGTTGACCCCAACGGGCGGGGTAAAGGTAAACTAAAATTCTCCCATCGTCTAATGACGTTTGTCGTGTTTCAGAGGAAGGGAACGGGATGGACCGTTTTGTCCTGGCGCAGCTGACTCAACTCTACATGACTGTCAAATTGGAGTGTCCCTTCTATGAGGTAGGGCTCTAGAAATGCGTGTGAGTTTTCATTTCTTCTAATCGGAGATTTTACTTTGGATGATATTGTTGAAAGACTGTGACGAAATAATGGATGTCTCCTATTTGTGCCATTAACCACTTTGCTGCCGTAGAATTTTACACAAGATGTGAACAGAAAAAAAACCAAAAAAGCCCCCTGGAAAATGGTGAATAAATGCTATATTTTACAAGCAGCGCAAAAGGGGGCTGCTGGTGCCCAAACATTGGGCCGCCATTGATATACTGTGTATGTGCCCGATCCTCAGGGTCCCCGGCTGCTCCCCAAGTACCGCGTCAAGTCCTTCCTGATGCCGGGACGCTCCCTGGAGACGGCGGTGGAGCCGCAACTGTACAACTCGGTCAAGTCGGGCCTGGTGGAGCTGCTGGGCGCTCGCTCCTACTTTGCCTCTAAAGTCTTGACTCCTTACTGCTACACGCTGGGTAAGGCACCGAGCCTCCAAAAAGCGCGACGTAGCTTTGATACGCGATTGTGCGTGCAGATGTTGAGATCAAGCTGGATGAGGAAGGATACGTGCTGCCTGCGAGCCATCAGGACGTCTTCAAAAGGTACATCAATGCCCTATTCACATCTATTCGACCTTTTTCCTCATCATTTTTCCATTTGGAAAAATGGATTAAAAAAAAAAAACAGACATTGAAACTCACTGCAACATTAATGCCAATTTAGGGAAGTGAGTGAAATGTTCTGAATTTAAAATTCAATCAATATTTTTAATTTAAAGAAATACAATAATGGAGTGAAATATGCAAGAATGATAAAATTGTTTAAAATGTAATTGAGAATTTAAAATGTTAGTAAAATATTTCTTTATTTAACGTGAATGAGTAGGGAGTGGGAAAAAGTTTTAATTTTAATATTTAAGCATCGTAATTTTACTTTTTTTTTTTTTTATTGAATGTCAGTGTAATGATCCCAAATGTCCCATTTGGAAAAAAAAAAAGTTCAAATTGAATTGTACATTAAATATAAATACATTTGTGTAGGAATTAAATTGACTTTTTTTTAAGTCCAAATAAAGGTCTGACCCTGCATGCTTTTCAGCGATCAAACAACCCAGGCCACTTGGAGAAATTGCGCTGAAAATGGTTTGACTGGCTACTGTCCCAGTGGCTTGTGTACCTAACAGTGTGTTTCTTGTCATTCGCAATCGTGTCAAATCGACACACGCACGCCGACAGGATCGCGCTATGCATCGACGGCCAGCGGAGGTTCAGCACCAACAGCCGGCGGCTCCTCGGCAGCGAGAGCATCAAACAGCGTCACCTCAGGCTGCTGGGATACCAAGTGGTTCAGGTACGCTCACTCTTCCCCACACCTCTGAAGAAGGCAATTTGACGCTCCATTTCTTGACGCCGTCCGTCCTCCTACGTTCCAGATCCCCTTCTATGAATTTGAGCAACTGCGCAGCAAGGCCAGCGTCAGCAATTACCTCCATCAGAAAATCTTTCCCCATAGCTACAGACTCAGCTGGTGATGATGTGGTGGAAAAAAACCCAAAACTATTTCTAGTTTTGCTGTATAGGTAAAACTATGCGGGGGGGGGGGGCGACACAGATTAAACGTGATGATGTGTCTACGCGTGGCATTGTTTGAAAAATACACTTTATTGTGTTCTGCACGATTCGAGTTCCAAATGTCATGAACATCGCAATCATCAAGAAGAAAAATGGTTAAAGCTATTGGATCTTTTTTGGTTAGTCTGAGGCAGGGAGTGTCACTCGGATAAATAGAGGGGAGGCGTATGATACAAGTAAAACAATTTGTCTGCCTTTATGTGGCGGGAATTTGAGGAAGGCCAAACTCATCCACCAAGATGCCATCCTGCAATCAAAAGAAGAGAAGAAGCATGAAATGGAGAAGCGTTAAAAAAAATGGCAGCGGTTTGAATCTTCGTGGCGGCGGGCTACCCTGGTAGACTTGGCGCCGGGCAGGCCTTCGGGAATGGACGGCGCTGAAGACGCCTCGTCCAAGTAGGAGTTGTCTTCGTCCATCAGGAACTCGTCTCCGAGGGCGCTCAGCTCTGCCAAACACACAAACGCAGTTCATGGTCGACTCACACCGTGGAACGGACTCGCGACAGCGTGACTTACTTTTTAGTTGTGAAGAATCTATTTTAAAATGTCTTATCGCATGACATACTGCTAACGTTGTTTTTAAATCACAGCACGGACAAAAATACTTAAAATCAAAATAATTGAATATCTAACAAAAAAATGTCATTTGTTAAAAATGAGACTACAAACTTTAGATTGCAATATAACCGCAAGTGAAATCATTTGTTCAAGTAGCACAATTAAAACAAATAAAAATATGCCAAACAAAAGAGGTAATTAAAAAAAAAAAAAACTCAAGTGAATAATACACAAATCCGAAGAGAAACTCTCTGAATAAAAGTGATGATGAAAATAGTCGGTGGCATTTCTTGTGACTCACCCGCCTCCAGGTCGTCCTCGTCGATCTCAGGCGTGCCGTAGCTGCGGCCCAGCACCTCCTGGATTTCGTTGGCGTCCTCCATCATGTCCTCCAGCTGATCTTGAATGTTCTTCAATCGGGGTAAAAAAAAAAAATTGAGCTCAATTTGTGCTTGTTGTGATTATTAGAAGGGGGTGGGAGAGTTGTCTCAAAATACCTCGATTTGATCGATTTTGACGTGCTTGTACGCTTTCTTCATGTCTTTCAGGCCGACCTTCATGGCGTCCACCTTAAGGAGAACCACAGGTTAGTAAGCCACACGCACACATTCAAAGGGCTTCACCACCCCCCCCCCCACACACACACACACACACACACATTTTGTAGCTCGCCATCTAGTGGCTGAGAGTAGAATTAAACCCCAGAGCCCTAAACAACAATACGGCAAGCACATATAGAAAACAATTGGAGCATCTATGTAAGAAAAAAAAAAGAGTAAGACATTTTACTTGATAGTTTTGAGGAACAAAGCTGTAACATAACAAAACGTGGACCAAGTCAAGCGTTATGAGTACTTTCCAGCCGGTATCGCCAACGAGCGTCCGCTCTTACCGTGGTTTTAGTGTCTTTGAGGGATTGAATGGTGTAGTTGGTTTGCTCCATGTTAAACGACTGCTGCATGAGGTTGTCTCGCTGGCCTTCGTACCTGCAACGACAAACTGAAGTTGAATAAAGGTCAAATAAATTCATATTGAACGCGACAAGGGCACTTACATCCTCTTCTGCTTCAGGATCCTCATGGCCTTCTGTTTGACCATGTTCTAATGGAGGTTGCACAGAGAAGCATGTTAAGTCAACAAAACGCACACCGGATCGTGTTTGCCTTGTCACCTTTGATGGTCCGTCTCGCATCTTCTTCAGCTGCTCCTTGTACTTGACCAGCTCAGCGTCCAGTCTGGCAATTTTCTTATCCACAGACTCTGAACGGGCATCCACCTTTTGGACAAGGTGTATTTTCCATTTTCCAATCATTCAAAAGTTTAACAGAAAATAAAACGCAGAGAGAGATCAGACTTTTTTTCGAGGGTAATCTGATGGAGCAAATTTGATGGGGGTTGGATCATGTCAATTAGAAACATCGTGATGTCACAATCTGGTGTAACATTACTTTTTGATGGCTATTAATCCTCCCTTGAATTCTTATTCCCGTTTCTTTAGCATGTCTGAGTAATTGTGATACTTTTGGCCACGAAATATGACAGAATTTTATTTCTGAAAATATGTAACGCATCCAAGCTAAAAATAACCTCTTCCTCTCAAGCCACCTCCAAACCCGGAGAACCGGTTTCATGCCAGTCTCACTCAAAGCTAAATAGTTTCTATTGTGGCACTTTATTTATCCCTGTCCAAATATTTCGAACGGGACAAAGACGCCGATTCACGGTTTCTGTGTGGGATTTTCAGCCCATGACAACGACGCCGAATCGGGTTTCGTCCACGTCAGTCCTGCAAGTACGATGAATCATTCATTTCCAGGCAAGAAAACACGTTCTCGTTTCCAAGTCGCACAAACTTTAGTTTGGACTAACGAACAAAAGTTAGTCCGAACATTTAACCACGACGGACTGGTCTTTGTTTACTTACTTGTGTGTCGGGGTGGGGGCGAATAAAAATTGTACTTACGGTTCCGATGCAGTCCGTAAGGTTCGGCGGCGGAGCCTTGGGCTTCCCCTTGCCAAAAATGCGATTCATTTTGATTGGGAAAAACAAAAACTTTAGCTGTACGCTTAAGTTTTTTTGTGCGTCTTCCCCACCACTTTAGAAACACCCGGAAGTATCTGAGATTACGTCATTGGTGTGTCAGCAAACCACGCCCATGGAAGATTTCTCTCCGTGCTTGCGTGGGTTTTCCCCGGATACTCCAGTTTCCTCCCACGTTTCAAAAACATGCTTGATTGAACGCTCTTAATAGTTCTTAGGTGCAATTTTGAATGTGAATGGTTGGTTGTTCACGCGAGCCCCGCGATCGCCTTGCAACCAGTTCAGAGTGTACGCCGCCTGCTGACCCAAGAGAGCTGGGAGAGGCCCTCTTGAGGCACAACGGCTCGGACAAAGGATTGTGTGTGCGTGTGCGTGTTTATAGGAAGGCACTTGTAATAGACGCGTTCGGCCTGTGGAGGGAGCTATTGACCTACACTCCAACCTGACGCGTACCATTCACGAGTGGTTCTTCAACTTTGGATCTTCTTAAAATGGAGAAATTCAGCGAGTCTATCTAATCTTTCGTGCCGTTGGTGAAGATACTCACTATGGAGCCGGGATTGTGTAGTTAGGCGCATTGTGAAGTCGCAGTGGGCCGGACATGCTGATGTACTTGCTGACAGGCTAATTTTTAGAAACATGCAGGCTTTTACACTTGAAGGTCGGCATTCCAGAGACTCAACTATTTTTTTATATGAATATGAAAAAAAAAACTATTTTAATTCAATACCTATCCATATATCTTTAAAATACATTTAATGTGTCATACAGACAAAGCCGATTTACAGTTGCAGGTGAACAGACATAAGAACAATCGTTTTAAAATGACAGAAATATCCCAAAATAATTCTTGGAGTTGTGTCTCTGAAGTTATTTTAGTTGCCAGAAAGCCTAAAAATAACTGCGAAACAGGGACATGCACTTATCTAATGCCATTCATTTGCGGTACATTGTACAGTATATCATTTACAACGGCCGTGTCTACCATGCATTTAGGTCACCGATGGACTAAGGTTGACATGCTTCACAGACAGTCACTATATGTCTAAACAAAATACAATCATTTTACTATGACACAATACGTACTGATTGATAATATGCAGGGCTTGTCATATCTGAGCATCTCCAAGAACAAAAGGCTCTTTTTTTATATTACACTATACATATATATTTTGGAGAGAGTAAAGGTATTTTTAATTGAAGCCGTAATGTTGATTTTAGTCTAGTAGCCCTTGACATCTGCAGGCGCATGACACCCTCCAGTTGCGCTTTCCTGTTCCCAGATGCTTTCTCCTGCCTCAGCCTGGACGCTGAACTCCCTGAAGAAGCGCTTAAAAGTTCCTCTCCGGGAAGGCATAGAGGACTGGACTGAGGCTCCTGTTGGTGTAGCCCAGAGCCACGAAGAAGAAGTTGGCGGCCAAGAGTTCTTGACTCAGCAACTAAAACCCGTGAGTTCCTTTTTATCCGATGAGTCTCCTGGTTCGAACCAGTTTACCAAATCAGATGAGTCATTGCTAACCTGAATCAGATGATCAGATCATCTGAATCTGCAGTCTTTCCAGTGAGTCTGATGATTCGGCTCCATGTAGCAGACTCAGGGGAAACACCGCGAGTTCCGATTATTTGAACCACTGACTTAAGTTAGTAGGAACTCTTAACGATGACTCAGATCAGTGAAACGAACCATCTGAGTCCAGAGTGTTTCTTGTGTTTCAGGTGAGCCCGACAACTCGATTCAATAGACCAAATCATCGGAGTCACGCACTCCTCCAAGCAATGTCCACCAGGTCTACAGTGCAGTGGTGATGTGGGTCAGACCCAAGTCTCGGGAGTCTTCTTTTTCAGCGTGAGAAATGGAAGACAGTTCCACCGCTAGTCATGCGGGCTTACTATTTTCATCCGGGTTCCTCAGGGGTACGGCAGCCTCCCGCACCGCCTCCGGCGCTGCCTTCCTGCTCCTGGATGCCTTCTCCCGCCTGAGCCTGGCTGAGGTGCAGAAGTCCTTGAAGCAGCGCTTGAAGTTCTCGTCCAGGAAGGCGTAGAGGATGGGGTTAAGGCTACTGTTGGTGTAGCCCAGAGCCACGCAAAAGAAATAGGCGGCCATGATGGCAGTGGTCTCGGGCACGCTGACCAACGCCTTGATCAGGATGAAGATGTGGATGGGGGTCCAGCACACCACGAAGACGGCCACCACCACCACCACCAACCGGGTGATGCGACGCAGGTTTCGATCCTTCACCCGCGAGCCAGAGAGCATGCGGACCGTCTTGAGCCGCAGGAGCATCAGGGAGTAGCACACGGTGATGATCAGAACCGGAACCACAAAGGCAAACACGAACACGCACATCTTCATGAGAGTGTCCCAGTAGACGTACGGCTCGGGGAACTGTAAGGCGCACTCCGTGATGCCTAAAAGGGACAATGGCAGAAACGGACCAGAAACGCGAAGCAATGAATCGTCCATCAACTGAAATAGGGCAGAATACAACATCACCCTGGAATATGAACCTAACAGTCAGTCCTGCAGTAGTAACCGCTGTCCCTGAAAGGGATGAAGTCGACGACCACGCTCTCAGTCCACCTTCCTTTATGCACCCATTCATCCATCCACTTGTGCTTTAGCATTAGCATTAGCCCGAACGTGGAAATGTGTCACAGCTCACCGAGGTTTGTCTGCGTGTCGCCCAGGACGAAGGCGGGAATGCCGGCGGCCGAGGACAGGATCCAGATGCACACGTTGATCACCTTGGCCTTGACGGGGGTACGGAAGTCCAGCGCCTTGACCGGGTGGCACACCGCCACGTAGCGGTCCACGCTCATCATGGTGAGCGTGAAGATGCTGGTGAACATGTTGTAATAGTCGATGGCTATGAAGACCTTGCACACCACCTGACCGAAGGGCCATGTGTTGAGTAGGTAGTCGGTGCTCTGGAAGGGCATGGTGGTGGTGACCAGGGCGTCGGCTAGGGCCAGGTTGAAGATGTAGATGTTGGTGGCTGTTTTCATCTTGGTGTATCTATGACGACATGGAGAGTTGCGCAGAGCTGATAACATCACTGCCGCATGTATTGAACATCAGCTCGCTTCCTGCAATTTTTCCGGATTGGCGGTTCATTGCGGTTCATTGTTATGCATCGTACGCCGGTGAGACCAGTTCCTCCACTTCATTCATTGAGGGAAGCGTAATCGCACTAAGTAATTACTTTTTCCTCATTTCACCACGGCTACTGTTTTTTTTTTTTTTTTAAACTAATGAGGTGCACGCTTTAGCGGTGTATGCAGCAACAAAACCGTCTTGAAAATTACCTTTACTTTTTCATGACTACCTGAGGCCAAACTGCTTTGTATATAATTCACCTTAATAGCATAACGCAGTCGTTAAATCATTGATCTCAATCGCTTGCGGGCTCCAGGCAGCACGTGTTTAATTAGTGTGACCGAAAAAGCAGCCGAGTCATCAATAAAACAATTCACCCAATCGTATTTATCTCGTCTTACCCGCTTTGCTGTTATTTACACAAGCAGAACTTTTGGTACACTTGGGTAGTATTTTCTCTTTGGCTTATTTTAAATGTTAAATGCGGTTTATAAGGGTCATTTGTGATCTGATTGACTTGAATCACTGTTACTCGGCTGACTGAAGTCAGATCACCGAATCATGTGGAGTCAGTCGATGACTCCACAAATTCAAAGTCACTCAAATGATTTGAGTTCACAATTTCTTTGGCCTTGCATTGAGTCAGTTCACCAAATCACGTGAAGTCCGCAGTGTTTTTGGTTTGTCCTCTAACTTGAGCCAGTCACCAGGTTCAACGGAATCATCCGAGTCCACTGTGATGTCATTGAGTGCTAACTCGTTCCAGAGATCCAAATCCGCTAACTTGAGTCAGTGAATTTCCAAAACAAAAAAAAGTGCAGTCTCCAATGTTTTTAGTCAGTTGCCTGACTCGAGTCAGTGGACTAAATCGCTGGAGTCTGCCAATTTGGAAACGGTCACCCAAATCATCTGATTCTGCTGTGTTTCTGGTGAGTGCGCAAGCTAACTTGAGTTAGCCTTCCGATTCACCTGAATCATCTCAGTCGGTTGTCTTTCCACGAGTCCGCTTATTGGCCTTGTGTGCTTAGCATCGATCGACCAGACCACTGACACGATCCAGGTGAACAGATTTACAGCTGTTCATGTCTCTTTTCCACTCGTACGCCTCTGAGCAATGTTTAAGTGTTGACCGAAACCAGTGGGTGTACAGTTAATAGCGTTTAATAGTCCAGCTTAATTGGTTCAGTTCAATATAGTAAACTAAAGACACGCTAGGAGCGGGACGTCAGCGATCAGGGTCTATGTGACACATTTCTAATACGGCGCCGCGTGTAATCAATGTTTAATAAAAAAGCATCGATTGGAAAGCGACCGCAGCGCTTGCCATCGCCTTGCCGTTTGACTGAAATTGTCCTCTTATAAAGCCGCTGCTCTGGTCAGTGAATCACTTTTGATTTGAACAAAAACACCTTGATCACTTTTGATTCGATGCCTCTTGCTTTCTGCAGCATTTTTTGACTCGACATCAAAGCGGATTCGCCGCCTCCACGTGTCGTAAATAAAAAGCCAATATGTACCCCCTCAACCCCCCCCAGAGCTATAATTAATATCATCTTGACCAGGCTGCTGGGTGGTTGTGATTTATGGAAGGTTTGTTATTGCTTCGGTGGGGCCACTTCTCTTCTCCGGCGTGCAAGGGAGTGGGGGGGGGGGGGCTGGGGGGGTTCATGGGATTCATCAAATGGACTCGTCGGCGGTCGGGGGCACATATCAACTCGAGCAATCGATTGCAGCGTGTCGTGCATTTAATGCTGAATTAATGATGTTGTCCAAATGCAACTCCACAGCAGAGGGAACCGGTCACTTTATTAAGTACGCCCAGTCGTGGTAATCATGCTGCCACAAAAGCGGGGCAAAATATTAGGGACACCTGCGAGGTGTGATGCGCTGGACGGCCACGCGAAGAAACATCAGGTGAGGTCACGTGATTTCTATAATCATAAGCATCCCAATTTATGACACGAGGTTATCTTATTTTTCACCCAGCAGTTTTAAGGATGCGCAGTTTATGTTACTGTTCACATTAGAGAGTTTATTTCAATATATTCCTTATGAAATTAAAAGGCATTGTAACACTCGAGAGGGAAGCTCTGTCTGTTATGCCATTTCGTCTGAATAACTGTCATCTCCATCGATCCTCACGTGTCTCCCTACCTGATGATGACATACATGACCAGGCAATTGCCCAGCAATCCCACCACGAAGACGAGCGAGTAGACGGCGGTGATGATGGGGATGATGGGCGACAAGGCGTCCTGCTCCCAGCCTTCGTCGCCGGCGCCGGCGCTGGCGTTGGCGTTGCGGCTCCACGCCGAAGCGTTGCCGGCTCGCTGCGGCCACGTCTCGAGCGGACTGGCGCTCTCCATCTTCCAAACGCAAGTAAACTTCTCGCAGGAAAACGCGCCCGCGGGTACGCTCGGCCGGTTCGCGGCAAACTTTGGCGACGGAGAGCAAGAGGACGCGAGGCGCACACTGGTCGCAGGCGCGCGCACCGGTCACACGACGAGACGCGTGAGCGAGCGGGCGGCACGCAGCGACGCGCGCGGTTCGCTCCTTCGATTAGGTACACCCGCTCCTGACATCCATCGAGAGAAAACCGACATATCCTCGCGAGATGAGACTTCAGTTGAGCGCGCATGGAAATGACCTGGAGGTATTTATCTTTTTCTTTGGCTTGCCTTTAGTCACAAGTGGAAGATCAGTTCTACAGTAAATTTTTTTGAATGCTGAATGTTTTTATTTGGCAAAGATGATTAGTTGTAATGGGCGGCACGGTGGATGACTGGTTAGCGCGTCCGCCTCACAGTGCAGAAGTGCACGGTTCGACTCCAGGTCATTCAATTGAAGACTGTTATCGCCTTTAAAATCTGTCATTGGCACCTAAAGTGGTTTTAAAAGAGAGATGCTCACTTTTTTTGCGATAATTGCAATAAAATGTTGTTTTAGAACATGTAACTTTTGTTTTAATGAATTTCAGCCAAGTTCGGTACTTTTGATAGTTAAGCGCAATGGTAAATTTCAAACTGTGGCTTTAGGAATGAAGCCTCTGCGTTCTTTGTGAACACATAGGCCTACTACATGACTATTTCTGTTCTATGGTAATTGTTCTCAGTCTTTCTTTGTCTTTTTTTTTTCTAGGTGTTAACGTTTGCGAGCCGCTCTCCGAATGTATGTGTTGTGCTGCAGACGCGTGCGTTTTTCTCCTTCATTTCCTTACGCGTTGGCGAACGAGCGAAGGCCAATTTGGTGGCAGGAAGTGCAATTTGGCTTTCTCCTCAGGGGATTTCACATTTGCCACGCGGGCACTTAAAGGAGCGTCGGCTTTGAAAGCCCAAAAGTGGCATAAGTAGCGAGCGAGCGAGGCGGCGGTCTGAAATGAGCACGCTAATGTACTGTAATGTCTCCATGTCGCCTGCTGTCACATTTCAAAACAGCAAAATGGATTTTGCAAATGCTCCATTTGTACAGAGAACAATGGTGTGTTTTTTTTTTCTTCTTCTGGATCCTTGACTCTTGTCACCTGACTTGACTCTCACCAATTTGAGGCTAAAACTTCAGAAGGACTCCCCTTGAATTGCACTTCCTGAGAGAGCGATTGTCGTGAATGAATTGATCAAATCAGATGTGTCGACAGATTTTTTTTTCAGCTGGGTTTTGTGTGAAAGGCCTGTTCAGCAATTTTGGGCTGCAAGCATGCATGCGATGATTTTGCCTGACCTCTGTGTAAAGTCCCTTTTTAAAAAGGAAACGGGCTGATGTAAAAGAATGCAAGACAATCCCAGGAGTGATTTATTTATTTATTTTTTGCACCTTTTGTTGTAACTTCAAAGCAAGAGCCACATGGGAATTTGTCTTTTCTTCCCTTGACATCAATGCGTCGTGCAGATTTTACCCCTCGTTTCTTCTTCTTCTGAATCATTATAAGCATGGCACGGCAAAACAGGCATGGATCATAACGACCCAAGGTTGACTCATAGGATGAAAAAAAAGTAGACACGAGTGTTTTCTCTCGCCAAGTTGAATGCAGAAGAAAATATTAAATGCTCGCTCATTCATTTTTCTTCTGTGTATGTGTGTGTGTGTGCGCACGTTGTGAATAATTCAGTAACGAGAGGCGTCTCTCTTTGTCCTGCAGGTTCGGATGAGCTCATAAGAGCCGTTGCCTTCGACTCGATCGTTCATGTCAACTTCCTTCTATTTACAAGCAGCACCACGAGCATATACAATACGCATAAACACTTTTTTTACTGTCAATCAGGCTGCTTTTAGAAATAGTTTGCTTTCACGTGTGCATGTTACATGGGCACCCACACTCATACCGATCCCACCTATCGACATCGATCTCACCTCTTTCAGTCACGTGCATCCATCAGACAAACAAACACAATCCTCATCTGATCCGCAGTTGAGCGCTGGTGAAAGAGGACGGCCACAAACAGCCACCCGCTTTTCCTCCTCACCCTCCTCTTCCTCTTCTCCTGCTCCGAATGAGCAACTGAAGCTGCTTCACCAAAGCGTCATGGGGTAGGGGGGTGGGGCTGGAGGGTGAAAAGCCAGAAGAAAGGGGAGAATGGGGGTAATTAAATGTGGGTTGGTGATATGAAAGTGTATTGACGGCTGGAATTTTTAAGATTTCTTTTGGCACATTTGTCAATATTAATGGACAATGTTAAGTCACAGTTTGTTGTTATTAATTGAACATTTGTCTCATTTGTCCCGAGGTGTGATTGTGAGCGCCAATGTCTTTGTGTGCCCTGACTGTGAAGAAAATGGCGTTGAGTTTCTCATTTGTTTCACACTCCAGCCTTCGCCAGCTTTCAAATGAGAACCATGAAAAAAAAGGCCTTCTACACACAGTCATCTTTGAAAAAAACGCCTGACTACACATGGTCGTTTTTTCGGCCCAAAATGCCTTACTAAACGTGGCCGTTTTTTTCGGCCAAAAACGCCTTACTGTACATGATCATTTTTTTCGGCTAAAAACGGCAAACTATACATGGTGTTTTTTTTCACCCAAAAACGGCTTACTATACATGGTCGTTTTTTTTCGACTAAAAACAGCATACGACACATGGTCGTTTTTTTCGGCTAAAAACGCCTTACTATACATGGTCGTTTTTTTCGGCCAAAAACGGCATAGCACACATGGTCGTTTTTTTCGGCAAAAAACGGCATACTATATACATGGTGGTTTTTTTCGGCCAAAAACGCCTTATTATACATGGTCGTTTTTTTCAGCCAAAAACGCCTTAGTATACATGGTCGTTTTTTTTGGCCAAAAACGCCTTACTATACATGGTCGTTTTTTTCGGCCAAAAACGGCATACGATACGTGGTCGTTTTTTTTTCGGTCAAAAATGGCATACTATACATCGTCGTTTTTTTTGGCCAAAAATGGCATAGTATACATGGTCATTTTTTTCGGCTAAAAACGCCTTAGTATACATGGTCATTTTTTTCGGCCCAAAACGGCATACTATACATGGTCGTTTTTTTCGGCTAAAAACGCCTTACTATACATGGTCGTTTTTTTCGGCCAAAAACGGCATACGATACGTGGTCGTTTTTTTTTCGGTCAAAAATGGCATACTATACATCGTCGTTTTTTTTGGCCAAAAATGGCATAGTATACATGGTCATTTTTTTCGGCTAAAAACGCCTTAGTATACATGGTCATTTTTTTCGGCCCAAAACGGCATACTATACATGGTCGTTTTTTTCGGCTAAAAACGCCTTATTATACATGGTCGTTTTTTTCAGCAAAATACGCCTTACGATACATGCTCGTTTTTTTGCGGCTAAAAACGCATTGCGATACATGGTCGTTTTTTTCGGGCTCAAAACGCCTTACTATGCTATGTCGTTTTTTTTCGGGCTCAAAATGCCTTACTATACTATGTCGTTTTTTCGGGATAAAAACCCCTTACTATAAAAAACGGCATACTATACATGGTCGTTTTTTTGGGCTAAAAATGCCTTACAATACATGGTCGTTTTTTTCAGCCAAAAACGCCTTAGTATACATGGTTGTTTTTTTTTCGGCTAAAAACGACTAAAAACGCCTTAGTATAGATGGTCGTTTTTTTCAGCTAAAGACGGCATACTATACATGGTCGTTTTTTTCAGCTAAAAACGGCATACTATACATGGTCGTTTTTTTCGGCCAAAAACAGCATACTATACATAGTCGTTTTTTTCGGCTAAAAACGCCTTAGTATAGATGGTCGTTTTTTTCAGCTAAAGACGGCATACTATACATGGTCGTTTTTTTTTTGGCCAAAAACGCCTTACTATATACATGGTGGTTTGTTTCGGCCAAAAACGGCATACTATACATGGTCGTTTTTTTCGGCCAAAAACGGCATACTATACATGGTCGTTTTTTTCAGCCAAAAACGGCATACTATACATGGTCGTTTTTTTTTCGACTAAAAACGCTTGACAATACATGGTCGTTTTTTTTGGGCTGTAAAAAACGCTTTACTATACATGGTCGTCTTTTTTGGTTCAAAACACCTGAACATATATGATCATTTTTTGTTGTGAAAAACGCCTTACTATACATGGTTGTTTTGGGCTGTAAAAACGCCTAACTATACATGGTTGTTTTTGGCTGTAAAAACGCCAAACTATACATGGTTACGATACATGGTTGTTTTTGGCTGTAAAAACGCCGAAATATACATGGTTGTTTTTGGCTGTAAAAACGCCAAACTCTACATGGTCATTTTTTTGTTGCCATTTTGTTGCCTTTCAATACTTAAAAAAATACTTTCCAAAAAAAAAAAAGCCTGACTATCCATGTGCTCACATTTGAAAAAACGGTCTTATACAGGGACAATGCAAAGTGCTCATGACGGACCTGGTTGTCGAAGGGTAAGTGCGTCGACATTGCACTGCAGAGGTGTAGGGTTCGATTCCATCTCCTTCCTGGTTTCTCAAAAACATGCATGGCTATCCATTTTCTGATCCTGGTTTCATGACCCGCCTGATGGTCGAATGGTGAGTGCGTTGGTGTTGTGCTATAGAGGTGCAGGGTTCGAGTCCGGCTCCAGCCTTCCTGTGCATTCTCAAAAATGTGCGTGGCCGTGCATTTTCTGATCTTCTTCTCCGCACTATTCATGCTCACACTCAAAGCGACAGACAATGTAAAGTGTTTGTTCATCACCTGACTGGTAATCGAATGGTTAGTGCATTGGGGTTGCACTGTGGAGGTTCAGGGTTTGATTCCAGCTCCAGCTTTCTTGTGTGTTCTCAAAACCATATATGGCCATCCGTTTTTTGATCCTCTTCTCCGCACAACTATTTGTGCTCACATTCACACCAAGGGACAATTCACAAAACACCTGACTATACATGGCTGTTTTTTTTGGCCAAAAACGCCTTACTACACATGGCTAAAAATGCCTTAAAATACGATGTCATTTTTTTCGGGCTAAAAACGCCTTACTATACTATGTCGTTTTTTTCGGGTTAAAAATGCCTTACTATACTATGTCGTTTTTTTCGGGCTAAAAATGCCTTACTATACATGGTCGTTATTTTCGGGCTAAAAATGCCTTACTATACTATGTCGTT